GCTCTAAATCTTTATCTAAATCATCTTTAGTTAATTTATCATTATCATTTTTTTCTAATTTTTTTATAAAAGAATTAATATTTAAAAAAATTCCTTTTTTGTAATATTGTAAACAATAATTACATGTTGAATATATTTTTTTATAACAATCTATATGATAAGCATGTTCACAAATATATACTTTTCTATTTAATTTACTAAATGTTTTGTTACATTTGTCACATGTATTTTTTGTTGGTTTTTTTGATGTAAGATATCCTGTTGGTAAACATTTAGCTTCTACATCCTTATTTAATCCTGCTATATAATATTTTGATTGATTTTGTATTTTTTTACTATTATTAAGATTAAGATAAACTTTTTGAAAATGTTTTAATAAAAATAAACTACTTCTTTTTGTTAAATAATCTAATTGTTTAGAATTATATATATAAGATTTTGTTGATTTAAAAATATCAAGTTGAAATTTGTTATGATAGTAATCTAATATATATGCTTGTTGCTTAATTTCTTTAATAGTACTATGTGAATTAATATTAGCTCAAAGATAACCATGAATATTTTCTACAAAATAATCATTAAAATTTACTAAAGAATCAGATAATACTTTAGCAAATAGATGATTAATATCACTCCAATAAAAATAATCAGATAAAAATACTAATAGTGCTTTGTAATAATTTTTTCTTTCCTATCTTAATACAAATGTCCATAATCTAAATATAGTTTCAATATATTGATCAAATGAACCTGATCTAATAAGTATTGCATAAATATCTAATGTTGAAGGTATTAAATTATCTAAAATATCTAAAAGCATTCGATATTCTATATCTTTATATATAATATCAAATTTAGCCAAAATTATATGAGCTATAGCTTTCCAGCCTTCATGTATTAACTCTAATATTAAATTTATTCTCTATGGTCTTGGTTTTTTAGCTAATTTCTTTTTTTCACCAAAAATAAAATAAAAAAATTGTTCAAAAAAAGAATAATGAACAAGAAATAATATTTGACGAAAATTTAAAGAAACATGAAGTGGACCTAAAATTGGAATAAAATTTTTAATATTATCTGGAATTGAATTTAAATTTAATTTATGTTGTGTAATTATTTTTCTAATAAATAATTGTCCTGGCCAATCTGCTATAACTGGAATTATATTATTTTCTAAATATTGTGATAATGAATTAATATTAGTAATCATTTTAAGAGCTTTTAAATAATCACTTATTGAATGTAATTGTTGTTTTTTAACTTTAACAACTCTTATATTTTTTATTGATCTTTCTTCTTTACGCTCTTTAATTGCATTATCATATATATGTAAAGTTAATAAATCTATACAATTTTGAGAATTAAATTGAAAAGTATTTTGAGAAATCCATTCCATTTTACATTCATTATAACTTTTATCAAAACATTCATTATATTTAGACATTAAATTAATTATTATTCTAGTTGGTTCAATATTTTCAGAATTAAAAAATGAATATCCATTTGAAATTGCTAAAACTGGTTGTTGGTTTTTAACTAATTTAGTTACACATGTTGCTAAATGATTTGCAGATGAAAGTGTTGTATTATTAGATTGACGTAATTCATAAATATTATGAAAATCATCAATATTAAAACAATAAAACATATTTAACTAAAAAATAATATATTATTAATTAATTTATATAAAAATAATAATAATAAATAAGAATTTACTTACATGAGAAGTAAAATATTTATTAATTTTTGTTGAATGATTATTTTTAATTTTTTCTTTAAAATTATATAATGTTTTTGAACTTATTGTTATTCCTGCTCTCATAAAAAAATCTATTTTAGTTGAACTTAAACCACAAGATGATAAATATAAACTAAGATCAGTTTTATATTTATTTATATTTTGATTACGTAATCCTGCTAAAAGATAACATTGACTAATAATTTTTTGTTGTGCTTTTTTTTTATTTTTTTCAGTTCTTCTTATAGGTACTAATGCATTAGTCATTTCATCTAAAAATCTAATTAATTAAGGTTCTTCTGTTTCAATTAGTTGTTTAAAGCAATCAGAATCTAATAAATAATCATTATTTTTATCTTCATATTTATATAAAGTTTTTGTTAATAATTGTAATTGATTAGAAAATGATTTTTGTTGTGCTATAAAATAAATAGATTAAATTATAAATTTATAATATTATTTTAAAAATTATTTAAATTTTTTTAAATAATAATAATAAACTTACAAAATTGATTTGTTTGATTAATAATTATATCAATTAATTTGTTAAAACTTTTTTTGCTAAAGATTATATCATTTTCAACAATTTTTATCTTTATATTTGAAAAATTATTTAAATCTAAATCTATAAAATCATTTTCTTTATAATTTTGTAAATAATCAATTGGTATATTAGAATTATTTAAACTAATTTTACTTATTTCTATTAAATCTCCTAAATCTATCCAAGTTTCAGATTTCTCATTATTAGATGATTGACTTGCAATAAAATTAACAATATTTATATAATGTTCAAAACAGATTTGATCTTCATTAACTTTTAAATAATCATATGAAAAATCTGAACATTTTTCAATTTTATCTATAAGATCTTGTATTACATTTCTAAAAGAATTAACTTGACTATTACAATTTTTAATAGCACAAGGCCCAGTAAGTTTTTAACGAGGCATTTTGTAAATAATACTATTTAAAATAATAAAAATTTTATAAATATATATAGCTATATAAAATTTTTATAAATATTTACGTGAATAGCAGGTCTTTATATAATTTTTTAAAGTGTAGATTATAACTAAATTAAATTTTATTTTATTATACATATATGTAATACAGTATGCCGGAACAAAATTGTTATACATGAAAA